TTTCCATTAAAACAAGAGTGCTGACTTACAAGATTGTATGGATACATTACATCTAATGCAATGGGATGGAATCTGCCATGTATTATTTTTGCTGTACTTCTTTCCAGTCTACCATATGCAGGGCTGCCAACTCTCCCAGATTATCCGGGAGTCTCAAGATTTTGGACCTAATCTCCCAGTCTCCAGATTTTGTCTTAATTCTCCCGGATTAGGATAATCACCAACGTCGATTTATGCACTAGCCATTTGATTCTTCGTTGTCAAAGGTTTTAACAATAAAAATTATTTGCGTTGCACATTCGTTTTGCTGGTAAAAATAAAATTCTTTCGTTGCTGGCTGCGTTGCTTTTAATCAGCGGTTGAATGGCGCCATTTTCCGTAGACACTTCATCTTACAGGGATTTTTTAACCCGTATTGACGCCATTAAAGATGTGGATATTTTATTAAACTAGTAAATAATATTGTGAAACTTGAAATCAACAGTTATTTGTGTTCAGGGACGCCGGAACTGGGGGGCAGGGGGGGGCGGCTGCCCCCCCTGCCTTTTGCTAGGGGGGGACAGAAGTGCCCTTTTAGTTTTAAAATAGTACGCGATAAATCACATTTCCAACAATGCTTTTTGTAGGAAAATCATGAGATTCAGGCAATTTATAGTTAATATTTGTATGTCCGGAAAAATTTTTGACCCCTAAAATGGTACACTGACCGAAATTTTTTTGGCGACCGGGGGGGGGGGACGTCGCAAAAAAATAAATTCATATCAATTCTCCAGATTTGAAAACTTCCAGGGTTGGCAGCCCTGCATATGGATGTCAGGAACATTGTATGTCAAGATATTACATACCTTCATATGTACAGTAACCTAACAAGTTATTGGACAATAATGATGGCCAACAATGGATACTACTTGTACACATACTAAATAAATATGAAACATTTATATGTTGGACAAGAAACGAATAGTATAAGACTTGGTTTACCAAATGGAAAATGCAGAATAGACTATATCATTACCTTGGAAAGAATATGAAAACTTGCAACAAACTAGTCATATCATATCGTGTATATTCCTAATTGTGTTCTTCTAGACAAGTGAAGATGGTTTAAAACATTGGTACCAACAATCACGGGCATACATGTAAATATGAAAATCTGAAGTACACTTTACACTATATATAGTAATTATTGCATATTGTAATTTCAATATTTCTTAAACAAAATAAATTCATACATATGGTGTGTATAAGGCAATTTAAGTAAATAAAGTTTATTGGTATGATCAATCCCCAGGGCTTTGGTCGTAAGGCAGCACTTCCTTGCGATAGTAACTTCTAGTTTAAAAGTTAAATGGACTTATGTGAGTTTTTGAGAGAACAAAAAACCAACAAGTATGAACTCTGTCCCTTTATCATGACTATTATGACAGGTTCAAATGGAATACTTTGCAAATCGATATAGGTGAATGATATTTATTCGATCTTCATAAAACAAATAATACCTTGAATTAGATGGTTCATGATCAGTTACGTCAACCTCAGTTGCACATGTCGAAAGGGGAGGACTTGCACGGAGATGAGGCAGTTCACCATGAGGTGACTGATCTGCTGGACAGTGACTGAAATTACACTTAATATTCCTTTGACTTTGTTTTTGATATTTTATAGTAACATTTCCTACTGAAAATTCTTGTTATTTTGTACTATTTAATACATTTTTCTGTGGTAATTTAGTATTTTCCGACTTAATGATTTTTACTTTACCCACCCCTTTGCTTGGTAAATTTTTATTCAACCCACCCATTTCCTCCCATAAAATTTTGTTTACCCACCCATTTTCTCTTCGGGGCCCCCCTCACCATAAATAATGGCCGGTCCCTTAGCGGAGTTGACTAGTGTCACTAGTTGATCATAGATGGGGGGGGGGGGGCTTGGCCTCCACAATAATTTTCCTCCAATCGATTTATGATGGAACTCCAGTAAACAAGCCTCTCTATGGAGGGTCGCTAGGGCTATACAAATATGCACATTACTGTATATCTGGTACAACAATCAAATGGCCAATTAGCCTTTCTCACACCACCATTTTTGGGTGGCTTTTTAGCCAAAGCCTGTGAGACAAAGTCCACATAACAGCGACTTTTTATAATTTTGTGGATGAATGATAGTAAATTTGCTTTGTAAATGGTTAGTTTATTTTGAAAAATTGCTTTTCACATTGTTTTAATTATCATCTGCATTGGCTAACGAGAATTAGATGCCACCCAAAAATGGTAGCAGGTCTAAAACGCAGGTGGCAGGTCTCAAGTCACAGCTGAATCTAAAAAGCATGCCTGTTCGCGGGTCGCAGAGAATAGTGTATCGCAATAGACAGTTCCTATTATAGATTCATTTTAGGCAAGGATATGCAAATAAATCACTACAGCTAGAAAGAGCATACTAAAATGAGTAAAATTACAAAGTTTGGTTGCGAAATGTTGTATAATGCGGAAAATATAGCAAAAATAAATTTTGTATACTTTTGTATTGCGTGTGGAAATTCCTCACATACAGAAAATGGTAGCAATTACCACATGCAATACAAAAGTATGCAAATGTCAGGGTTTTTATAATCTTAAAATTCATGGGAAACAAATCGGACAGGACTTGGGATTGTGATATTAAAATTCATCAGAAGTGAACCAGACAGGACTCAGGAAAATACCGGTAATAAACAACCACTAGGGAACGATAAAACAAAACAAATACAGAGATGAGATTATGTGAGTTTATGCATGTTCTTATAGTTTCAAACTTTAAATAAATATCAAAAACATTCACGACACAGTGGCGATCCAGCAGGAGTTTTTTTCTAAGTAGATGCATAGGGTATCAATGGCTGCATCATTGTTCACACTTGGGTACAAAGAAACCACATCCAGGCTAAATTGGATCATGCTCTTCAGTTCTTTGTTCCTTACACTTTGTAGATTCCTCAACAGCTGTTCTGTGTTCCACAGATGTGCTTTCACAAACTGGAGTAGTGGGTTACATATGACTTGTATGAGCCATGATACTTCATCAGCAGGGCCACCGCAACCAGAGAACATCGGTTGAACTATAATAATGTCAGGATCGGAAGTCAGTATGTTGTGAGAAAACTTGTGTGTCTTGGTTAGTAGATAGAGCACTGGACACTGACTGTGGCTGGTTTTCAGTCTTAACATGGTTCTTTCTTGCACATAGTTTTTTTCTTTGCTATGTACTTCCACACTTCGTTTATTTCGTCTTCAGCATTCTGGAGGTGTGAACAATGATGAAGCCATGATACCCTATGCATGTACTTGACATAAGAAAAGAAAAATCTCCCACTGTGTTACTTCCCTGTTCCAGACTTGCTTCTTCTCACAAAATCGATCTTCAGAAACAATTGTTTTTCGTGGAAGAGAAGATACTATCACCAACTTCGAGGTTTGGCAATGGGAAATTGCCTAGCACCAATTCTTGGCATCCTCTTCCTTGACAGAATTGAGAACCAAGCCATCTACGACCCTTTCACTTTACTATTGCTACATTTGCTACATTGATGATTGTGTTGCCCCTGCCAGCAGTTCTCAGGAAGCTTGCCAGATTCAAAACCACTTGAATTCTCAAGATTCATCCATTTGCAATGAGATCGAACTACCTGGTGAAGATGGTTTCTACCTTTCCTAAACACCAAAGTTAAAGTGAACGATTTCGGAATCGTAGAAATTGGCTGGTACACAAAACCAGCAAACAAGGGTCTGATGTTACATGCAAAATCCAACCATCCTGATCACGTCAAATGTGCTGTCATTAACAACACCACCAACACTTACACTTCTATATGTTCCAACAATGCCTTACTTCAAGAAGCTGAACAATCCTTCAAGACAAGAGCCCAAAGGAATGGTTACAATCAGCAGTATGTCAACCGAGTCAGATTCAAACCTAAGAAAACCACTCAAAATCACAGTGAATCCCTACCCACACTTTCCATTCCGTCCATCTCAAGTGCATTCACCAACAACATAAAGAAAGCAGTAAAGCAAAGCAACTTGAACATTCGTCTAATTCAGTGTCCCCAAAGTTCACTAAAGAATCTCCTTGTTGAATCAAGACCTTACGACAAATCATGCAAAGGATACAGAGAAATGCAACATCTGTTGAAACTCGCCATCAACACCTTCAACTCTTTGCTTGCAGAAAGATGTAGGCTACTACTATAGTATGGGAACCTGGAACCATGCATAATTTATGCAAATTAGAGCATTTTGCACCACAGGAGATATACATGATAATAATTTACAGGGGGGTGGGCACAATTCAAGGATAGTATAAATTATTATATGCAAAGCATTTTGATGAACATCGTTGCAGCACTATATTACGAAGTAGAACATGTTTCATAATTGCACGGTGATTCTTTTTGTCTGTTTGATATGAGGAAACCTGTGGCATGGTACACAAAGCAGATTGAATTCGGCAGCAATTGTGTGCCAACATTGAATGTACATGCTAATATTAACCCTGTGAATATTGCGAATATATTGCATGCTAAAAATATTCGCTTGAATATCAATCACAAACTTGAATGAAGTTATGAAGGTAAATTCATTGTCAAAAATACATTTAATAATGAAACATTCAAGTTCAGAGTCGAAAACATACAGGGATGGACAATGTAACTTGAATGGACAATGCTGAAAATATGTTGAATGACCCCCATGTATTAACAGCTTCAACGCCAGATTTTACTTTAATCTCAGCAACTGTACTTGATATCTCCTATCTTTAAACCCTAATAATACAAAAATGTGAAAAATATTGTATATCCAGTTAGTTGTGAGTATAGCATGTTACAAGAACAAGTTAAACTGTCTCTAAAGTGATGTACACATTATACATACTGTTGAAAGCAGAATAACACAATATAGATTTCTTTTTGATATTTTGTTGTACTTATTGCCTTTGGAGATTATATAATAAGCATTTGATAAATCATGCTCAGCAAGACTAATAGATCATACGCAGAAGTTGCTGCTGATGTTGAAAGGTTAGTAAAACTCAAATTTGTCAGCATAAATAAATATTTCATGTTTTCCCATTTATAATTCACCCTTTGTCCCTTTTCGATGTTAGACCAGGAAAGGGTAAATATATTAGGCTAAAAGACACAGTGAGCAGAGAAACATGTGTTAGTCTCTGCAGGTTAACAACATGGAAAGGGGCGAAATGATTAGAATCTTTCAATATATAAATCACAGACAAACATTTAAAGGGTAGAATATCATCAGGATGAAAATATCTGACGTTATAAAGATGTACTGTATTTTGTAAAATTAAAGAGTATTCAAAAAAGTTTTTTATTGTTTTATATAGTTCCGAGCTAAACTGTCCAGATTGTAATTCTGTATTTGAATCTCTAACCCAATTAACAAGGTACTTTTTAGATGCACATGTGGTAAGATTATGTCACCTTTTCAACATTCTTGAGCGAATAGGAAACAGGAAGGAATTCACTTGATTTGCACGGATTTTATTCACATGTGTCTATATACCAATTTACATACTTACACTCGGAAAACAAACTATAAAAATAAACTATGAAACAAACTATATTCACAGATATCATGGCCATGGGCATGATATGACTTGCCCGGAATGGCAGCTGGTCCCCAATTATCAGGTATTAGATATCAAAATTTAAAATCAATTTCACCGATTTGTTAAGGATCAACGACCACTTATGCCAGATGATGTGACTGCATCAAGTAGGGAAGTTGACATTGCGGATCAAGAATCTGTGGATATTGATGTTGTACTTTCATCTACTAGCGAAACTGAGTTGCCAAACACTAATCCCAAGGCCAAGGTTTGTAAGTTTTCTCTTAATATTTTCATGTCTGCATTAAATAACATAAAAATTCTGCTTACTGCAGCGTGCACAGAAACAGTTGTTTCCAATCACAGTTACAGCAGCAAAGCTGTCTGTTTTTTTCTTCTTTTAACAGCGAATTTATTCAGATGACTCATTAGCAAACCGAAAGTTTGGACCAAAATAAAAAAAACAATGCAGATTGTCCAAAAGGTCAAAAAGGTATAGCTGCCTATATATGTGTTATATGTTGATGTGCCTTAGTAATATACTTGGCATACTATACATAGTCTATATTAATCATTTAATGGTTTAGTTTTAACTTAACGATTTTGTGACTGACATGCCAAAACAATCGGACAATGGCAACAAAAACCAATTTGATTTCGGTTTCTTTTTCAAAAAAAGCGCTTTAAAACTATGACATGGGCATACAATTAAGTTAATGAAGTTGCAATTTCAATTATTTTTGTTTATTAGTAAGAAAACGGTTATGACAACGGTCAAGATGTTAACTGATGAGGTGAGAATAAAGTAAATCTATAATATTGGTGATAAGTCACTCGATATATAATATTTAATTAATTAAATATTATGTACTGTTTAATAGACTAGCAGGAGTGTTTTATTATGTTTAAAGCCACGAGCGCGAGTGGCTTTAGACATAAATAAAAGTATAAAACACGACTTGTGAGTTTTAAAAGGCTTCAAATACGACTATGCATGCAATAGATATACTGTCTTATTAGTATTCTTTATATAAATATAAATAGTATTATTTATATAAGGAATACTAATGAGGACTACAATAGATATTGCCTTTTTCAATAGTATTATTTATATAAGGAATACTAATTAAGAGTGTTTTATCAGGTTTAAAGCCACTGCACATGACATATTATGGTTGACATGATTTGCCAATAAGCTTATGAATTATTAATGAATGTTTGAATCTTATTTAATTGTATTTAGCAGTTAAGTTAAGAAAAGGGCAACAAAAGTTAAAACAATTACCTTTTGATTCTACACTATATTTTTGGGTATCTGTTCTGACCAGTGATTCTGCATCAAGCACTTCTGTTGATTCTACTGAGTCCAGTAGCAAAGATGATGTTCTCATGCATATTGCATTTCAAAGCAGTGACAAGGAAAAATAATAAAGAGAGAATAATACATGGGTGGGCAGAAATACCAGATTTATTTTGAGTGTTGACGCATGCGCTTGTGATGAAAATTTCCAGCTTGGAACCGATCTTTGTGGCGACATTTTCCGAAGATTTCCGATCATTTATTAAGTAAAGTTTTCTGGTCTGCTTCCATAATGGATAGTTTCTCCTCGTTACACAAATTACATTGCATGCTACTGGGCGCATTGGGTGTTGAATGTTTCAGAATAGACCAATTAATGGCAAAAGCCTTCCCTTTAAATTTAAGTTCCCATATATACTTAGACAGTTCAGTTTCTTTCTCATACTGAATAAGGTTAAAAGATTTCTTATGGTTGTGGTAGAGTAAATCCATTTCCCGAATCAAATCTGAGTCCGAGTCAGTCCCGAGCCCAAGTCAAACGCCTGAGTCGCGTAAAAAAAAGACGAAAGTGAAGAAAATTCACAGTCGAATAGGTTTAGGAGTAGGTTTAGGGTTAGGGTACTAAGTCATTTTATCGACAAAGACTGTTGAACAGTGACTTGGACATTTGACTGGAACTCGGATTTGAGTCAGTCAGTAACTGAACAACAAAGAAATTGAATAAAATTCTCCGAAATTGAATAAAACTCACAGTTGAATGGGATTAGGGTAAGTTAGGAGTGGGATTATGGTTTGGACTAGGGTACTAAGTCATTGAACTGCAAAGACCATCGATTAAACAATGACTTGGACATTTGACTCGGCTCAGATTTCACTCAGGTTAACCGACAAACTCGGTTGTGGTATCTTTCTTTAAATGAATTTGCTGTCATGCCTATGTATTCTTTCTTCACACTGTCATCCAGGGATGTTACAACTGCTTTGTATACGATACTCTCAGCTTGGCATTTGTTATCTAGGGGACATTCATCCTGATTTCCACAGTTACATGATGTTGCAGGTTTTGCAGCTTTGCTTCTTAGTAAGATTGTCCCGTGAAATAACATTCTTAATGTTTGGCATACAACTATAACTAACTTTGATCGTGTTTCTGTTGAAAATTTTGTGAAGTGAATTTGTGGGAGGAAAATATTTGTCAATAAGTTGTAGAAATCTTCCTCCAACATTTGTCTTAACTGATTTACTGTATGGGGATTGAACCATATAACGTTTCTATGTCTCTTTCGTTTTGGTGTTGCTGATGTGTTTAGATCTGGGGGGTTGTAGTGTAAGGTTTGCTTAAAGTTGCTTTGCTTCAAGGCGCTTCTTCATAAAAAGGTTTTGACTGGTCATACGTCTTTTGGTTGGATGAATGAGATGATATACGCGTGTTTATTGATTTCAGTATATACTTTATTATCAAGGGAGGGTGGTTGGATCGACTGTCTACATATTGCGTGGTGTTGAGGGGTTTCCTGCATGGCACGAATCAATTGGAATTCAAGTCTAAAGTAACATCTAAGAAATGTGCAAGATAATGACTTACTGTGCAAGATGACTTACTGTGCAAGATAATGACTAAGATAACTCTTTAGTCCAAACTGATGGAATGTTTCGTAAAATGAGTTCCTTGCCATATCAGTGTTCTGAGTTGAATTTCCTTTCACCAAAGCCAAGCCATCATCCCGATACAAACCCACACGATTCTTGCCAAAAATTGCCGAGATCTTATTAAATATATATAGACCAACTAATTCGCATATCTCTGCTCCATCGTAACTACCCGTTGTTACATCAAACGATTCACTACTTGATTTAGTCCATAGTTTATCATCGCTAAACAAAAGCGATTTACGTGCGTGCTTGATTATATTGATTTCATCATCACTAATATTGATGATCATTAGGAGTGCACCGGATAGTGATTTTTACTATCTGGCCGGATATTGAATTTGCCGGATATCTGAAAAAAATCCGGCCAGATACTGGATATTTTACCAATTTGAATACTTGACATATAATATATATTTATAAGGATTTTGCTCATCCATGTATTAGTGAAGAAGAAGGTGACACTATTTTTTTAAATTTTTGAGTAAACAATCAATTGTGGTTAACTAAAAATCTGTTTTTAAATTTTTCCACTGTTCACATATTTCTGAAAACTTCTGAAAAACGCTTAGCCATCGTCTCAACACGATTACCAATCTCACGTTTGTGGCAAATATCGCGAAGTTCTTCATAAATATCTTCTGAAATGTTATCATTGTTAACTTTATATGATTTCGTTATGTTTTCTGTGAGAAGTTTATTATATAAATTAGGATCAGTTTCATAAATGTTACCCATTTTGTCCACAAAAAGATAAATATTTTCAGAATTGTTCACACGTTGATATCTATTGGTATTTTGAAGTATTTTCATGATTTTCAGTAAAAAATTCTGTCATGCCGAAATTTTTCAAGGTAGGAAAATATGAAAATTCGTAATTTTTTTGCTAGGATAGAATTTTTTTCAATCTTGAAAATAATTCAAAATAGTAAAAGAAATCATTTTATGAAATAAAAAAATGGGGAATCACCAAAGTTTTTTTCAAGTTAAATTACTTTAAAGTAGCGGAAAGAAGGGACCACTTGCACAGTCTAACCTTTTTGGTATAATTTTATATATAGTAACTGTTTTATTAAAAATAGGACTTTGTAAGGAATTAAATGTTGCAGGGGGTCCTAAATGTTCTAGTTGAAGGTGGGGTGTCTTGAAATTACTGTGCTAAGTGGTTATGTTACTACCTTAAAAAATAAGTAGAAACTCGACGTTTCGAGCGAAGGCCCTTTGTCAAGAGTTAGTAGCCTGCTACTTACTCTACTAACTCTTGACGAAGGGCCTTTGCTCGAAACGTCGAGTTTCTGCTTTTAAAGTAGTAATATAACCACTCAGCACAGCATTTTCACTTTGGTACTACCAACACTGGTCCAGGCAGTTTTAGTATGTCTTGAAATTAAAGTCTTTCGATTGGGGCGGCTTCAAAAAAGTAAAAAATTTGGTATTTATCACCCACCACTCCCCCTCCCATTATTAATGACCGGTACATAACATCTAACCATTGCTCTTTGCAGATGTTCAGAATCAGCTTCCGATTTTGGAAAGAGGAAAAAACTATTCTACACAAAGCAAGAAATTGCGAAAATTGTACTTGAGTATGAATTGTTGAAACAGTGCGGGAAAGTTTGTGCTTGGCAACCCAGTAATATCTCAGCAAGCATGTGATTTGTCATAGATTTAAATATGTTGGAAGATATTTGAGATTTGGCCTCTGATGACATGGGATCTTAAAGACAACATGGAAGCCCACCAGAAATGTATATGTGAAGTTTGAAGATAATCGAGTGAAACATCTGGTATTCAACAGGAACCATCCACTTACCACTGATAAACTTGAAAGTGTGGGATTAGAGAATGCAGATATTTTCATGTTAGAACGAAAGTACGGCATACAGACTTCCGAAAATTTTTCTTGCTGCTCAATCGCCAACATCCTAACATTAACTTTACTTGTGAAGTTGAATCCAATTTTCAACTTTCCTTCCTTGACATCACTTGTACACGAACTAATGACCATTTTGAAACCACTGTTTATCGTAAACCCACATTCACAGGCCTTTTCGTCAATTTTCAGATGATGATCCTCTACAATTTTAATGTGGTTTAATATATTCACTATGTTGTATTTTAGAATAATTTATTATAATTTATATCTAATTATTTACAATGTTCCTAATATATTATATAAATTTAAGTACTTCATTTAACATAATGTAAAACAATAATACCACATCTCCTTTCCTTCCGTATATAAAGTTATTAAAAGTTAATATTCTTCACTATATCTCAATCAGTTAGTCAACAGTAAGAACACAACATCAACAATAAGTAGTATAATAGTCCTTTCACAAGTTCAGTTTTTAGGACATCTCTTTCTTAAATTATATGGATCGCGTAGTCCCACATGCCTTCTTTCCAATGGATTAGTCATTGGAGTTGGGTTCTGTCAGTCATTCGCTTGAGACGTATTGTTACCAGCAGGGGAAGATGCAGGTCTTAGATATCTTCAATTACGGGTGAGTCAATCCTTGGTCAGTTAATACTAGGTCCTATAGGGTAGGTGTGATTTGGTTTACTTTCAGCAATTGTTCCAAGTAGTGACTAATCAGAATCGACGCAGGAACAAATAGCTACATGGGTACCAGTCTGGAGGAGGTAATAGGGTAGTATGTTGATCATAGGTATCTTTCTCGTTCTTCTTGAGATTAAGGATTTTCGCTTTTGTCTCCTTATCTAACGTTGGTGGACAAGGATAACAAGGGAGGGAATCGTGGAGTTTTCTGCCAAGCAGCAATTCTGCTGGACTCTTACCACATAACAAAGGAGTATTTCGAATTGCCAGCAGACCTTTCCAAAATTGATCATTCATAGAGCCACACTTTTTGAGGAGCTACTTGACATTCTTTACTGCAATTCCAACATTCAACAAACGTTGCAAAGGCCTTGCAAGTAAACTGGGAACCACCATCTGATACGACTTCAACAGGTTGACCAAATCGAGAGAATAACTGTGTGAGTCCTTTGATCAATCTTGGTGCTGTTGCATCTTTACCAAGATCATAAACTTCTGTGAAGGAGTATGGTATTCTCGGTCACAGGAGAAATCCGCCAAAATCAGCTTCAGTGACAGCTATCTGGGACTTTGAACGCTTCAGTGTGACCCCACGCATGGAGCATCAGTCTAGGAAGGCGTGAACGCTTTTTTTTAAAACAGAGAGGGTTGGTGCATAGACAAGAACTTGGCTCTTCATGGACTGAGATAACACCAAGACGTTCCATTTCATCTAGTTGCTTCTTAAGTTGATCCATGTAGGGGATTGGGATTTTCCTTGCTTTCGCTTGGGCATAGGGTTGAGCATCAGGTTTGAGATTAATCTTGAAGGCATCACCTTTTATCTCCGGGAGAATTGTGTCATCAAAAATATCATAAGATTGCAAAAGTGGGTTGAAATGTGTGTTCTCAGTATAGTTAATATTCTGTACATTTGCAATAACAGAAGTGACTTTGATGATTCAGAAGGACAGGAGAGGTAGGTTACCATTTCAAATCAGACAAAAGTTCATCATCAGACATGGAAGAGTTTGGAACCACATGATCGACTTCGGTCAGTTTGTTGTCACATATTTGAGGGTTGTTTTCTGATGCGTCGAGGGTATTCACTGATGAGAGATGGTTAAGGTTCTGAAGTAGTGTAGAAATAGGCCAGTCGTCATCAATCACACTGAGTGCATGACAGGCAGGAGTACCAAGGATAATACCATCTTCACCATGAACAATATAGAACCACTGATCAGCAAAAATGGTGGGATTTTGTGGAGGCCGCAAAATCTTTGGGAGAACTCGAGCTTCAACATCCAAGTTATGACCTCCAGTGGTCTTGATGGAACCACATTCAATATTGTATGACCACTCTGTGGTGTCAAAACAGGTAATCTAATCATAATCGACACAGTTAATGTTAGAGCCAGGATCAATCATGCATTTTTGCTTCCAATTGTGGTTACCAAGTATAAAATCAGTGTAGTAGTGCTTATCAACACTTGGAATGGTGATGGCTTTGACAGAGACATCAGAGGTAACAGATAGTTCTTGATCAGCTGAAATGACTTTAATAAGAGTTGGTTTAGTGACAGAACCAAGCTTAGAAGATTCATCAGTAACTTTCTTGTCAGGATCACCTGTTGGTTTAGAGACTTGGGGCACATGCCAGATTTAGCCCAGTGACCTTTGTTTTGACAATCCCAACAAACAGAGTCCTTTGCAGGGCAAAATTCCTTCTTGAAAACATGATACTTCATGCAAAATTAGCATTTGCGCAAATTTTCATCTTTGGTAGGTGGAGACTGGCCCCCTTTCCCAGTGTTATAGGGAAATTTCTTTTGTCTATATGTAGAGGCTCCAGTCTTGTTAACTTTAGTTAAAAACTTATCAGCTTGGGAAAGGGTAGCTTCATCTACTTGGATATATTGTACAACTTTGTCAAGAATGCAGAGAAGTCCCTTTCTTATATCATGAGACTTTATACCAGCCACAAGACGAGCCAAGAGAATTCGGTTCTTACACAACATTCGTGTTGAGCTCTGGCAACAGTCCTTGTATTGACATTTATTTAATAGTGTTTGTAGATCATTGTAAAACTTGTCAAACGATTCATTCGAGCCTTGTACTCGTTTGTGGAATTCATATTCATGCACAAATATATTTGAACTGCCACATGCCTGGCATTGAAAAGATTCAATGAGAGTTTGAACATCTTGTTGTCCTAAGTTGTTCACTCGTTTGATAGTATCATCACTAAGTACATTAATAAAGAGAGCTTTTTGAGTTTCATTTGAGAGTTCATAAAACCGAGTAATCGCTGTAACATCGTTGTTTTCATATATCAAATCCTTTGGGAGAACAGCTGCTAAGGTCAAGCTTAGTAAGTTTTCCGATTTCCACCAAGATAAATGGTTGATAAACACTTGTTCCAGAGGTGCCTTCGCCAGATTGCTAAGAAGACTTTGTCGGTGGCATTTAGATAAAAATATGGCCGAGAAACTCAAATAGTCGAATTTTCCTGCTTCCTTTAATCCATAGAAAACACAAGAAACATTTAACTTTCACTATGAAAGCAGGATTGATCAAGATGTTTTCGGTAGAACTATCAACTACGCCATGTTGTATTTTAGAATAATTTATTATACTTTATATCTAATTTATATTTACAATGTTCCTAATATATTATATAAGTTTAAGTACTTCATTTAACATACTGTAAAACAATAATACCACATTATAACGTTTTTTCAATATTTGCTATGAGAATTTCCATGCTCAAATTGAGTTTTTTAGAAAAATCCTCAACCAGAATGGTTATCCTACTCGTCTCTTTGATCGTTGTGTTCGACTCTTTCGTGATAAAACCTTTCAACCCAAGGAATTAATCCATTATACTTTTGTCTCCCATATACCGGAACACACTCTCTCCAAATCCGTACCCAAATTCAATGCCTTTGCTCTGTAGCCTTGTAATTTAATATTGTAAATAGTAATTTATTCATATTTGTAACTCATTGTTATACTATATTCATTTACTCTGAAGATGTCTTAAGTTAAAGACAAAACATTACTTCTTCTCAAATAAATTTTATGTCTATATTCTTGTCTATATGGCTGTTTTGCATATGTTATGCTGGGCAATTAATTTTTATATTACAATCTTGGTGAGTTCTATGTTACATTTACTGTCTATCAACACCTAGCTCTTGAAGATCAAAGTGGAATGCATCCTCTTTTCTTGGGACCTTCAATTGTACACCATCGTAAGTTATACTCTTCTTATAAACATCTTCTGCAAATTCTTGGCAACATCGATCCAGCAACAAAGCTAATAAAAGCATTTGGTACAGATGATGAAATCAATTTATACACAGCTTTAAAGGATGAATGGGTGGAAGCTGATCATCTTTCATGCTTTATTCACATGAGGAGAAATGTTGAAAGAAAGTTAAGAGATCTTGGTATTAAAGGTGGAGAGGTCTCCAAATTTCTAGCTGAAATTTTTTATGAAAATGGTATTTTGGCTGCTGAATCACCCTTAGAATTTGACGCTAGATTGCAATTGCTAGAGGTTGTGTGGAATGATAGAGAACAAGCAGAAACCAAGAAGAATAATCCTATTTTGTATGATAGATATTGGATATTGACTGAAAAGGTACAGTATATAAATGACTGACAATCTAGAATAGAACAGACTGAGATAGAGAATGCAGAGTAGAATACAATTGAATAGAATGGATATGGATATGAAAAATAAATAGAATGGAGTAGAATACAAAGCCATCAACAACAAGAAATGAATTATGTATGTTATTTTATTATGTACATTTGAATCTTTACATTTTAGGCACCTATTATGAAGAATACCATGCTACTGGATGTCGCTTGAGGAATGGCATACAAGACAAATTTACAACAAGTGACAATGAGTGCATGAATTCAAAGTTTAAAAAACATGTCAATTATAAAGCTTCAGATTTGCCCAAATTTATAAAGGATGCTGAGGAATTTGTCAGGGCAGACCAAATTGTTATTGAGGCGTCTTTCGTTATGGCACAGGTTGAGTATCATTTCGTCAAAGGTTATGAAACATTCAACATGGGATCGAAGTGGTGGAGCTTTTCTCTGGTAAATGCGTCGCCCATTTCAATTGGTTCCTGGAGGAATGCAAATGCGGACCATCCACCCAAATTTGCAGTGCCATACCAGAAATTACCCAATCATCACCAGAGCGCTCGCACATCGGTGAATAGCTCTAAGGACAGAAAACTCATTTTTGATACCTGCAGTGAACATCGCAGCTGATGTATTGGAAGGGATACTAAATAAAGCCGAGAAACTTGTGTCAGATATTAAGGGAAAAGGTAATAAGCAAGTTGCAATTGCTAGTCACTCGACATGTACCCGAGGATCGTTGTTCGAGAGGACCACAAACGTAGAAGTGAAAACGTGGTGGAATTGAAATGCGGTCCAGGCAAAGGTTGCCCGAATTTTTCCACACATGGCATGTGCGCCCATACCCAGGCAGCAGCTGTTGTGTGGGACGTCAAAAACTGGTGTGTTGGAAATTTTTGGATACCTCCAAAAAAATCGTCACAAGCCTGCAGAATCTGTCACAGTGTGGTTTGCCTAATGGATCTGTGAAAAAAGACAATTAGATTAAACGGGGCAGTAAAAAACGACAAAAAAACTCATCCCAAGCATCGTCCCTTCCCAGCAATAGCACTACTATTTTCTAAGTACTCATCATGCTATGTTGCCAACATGCAACAACCAACAGCTAAACAGTAATGCTGCAATTTCACAACTTTCCAGCTCCACAACCATTACAGGAAATACATTGCCATTGCAGAGTGTGAACTGATATTAAAACATCACAAGCATTGCTCCAAGAACACCAGTTCCAACACAAGGAAAGGCCAGTATAAACACGAGAACGTTCGCAAGTGTTCAATTATGACATCCATTGAATTGCCCCGCACCATGTGTTATTCCAAAACAGACAAATGTTTTACTTTGTAATATAGTGCTACAATGATGTTCATTCTTTGTTTTGTTTAAAAAATCAAAATGCTTTGCATATAATATTTTATATGATCTTTGAATTGTGCAATCTTTGAATTGTTTATACAATCTTTGAATTATAGTTATAAGTTCTCTCACAAAATGAGAGGGTCAATTGAAATCGAGAAGCACAATACTATAGATCAGGAGGGAAAGTCACTAGATAGTATGTGGCATGCTCTCTTTAATGTGCAAAATTAATTTCTCTTGTCTTGGATGTGTGTGTGTTAATCGGAATCACTTCACTATGTTTGAAATGACATGGTTGATGTGCTGTTTAATTAAATTTCAAATGACGTGAGCCAACAGATCACAACACTTGTATATAAAAAGGCATGTGAATTAAACACGTCACATATTATTAGCACTGATGAAGATCCGGGCTTATGGATCGAAAGCTTTGCAGTAATAAATTTACGTGGTGTTTCCACAAACAAAACTATTAGATGTAGAGGTTTCTGCAGAAAATATTAATGATGATTTGAAATGAATTTCAGTTTGGTCTAAAAGATGGCTTGTTTCAATCTTTCAAAATGGAGAAGTATAGTCTTTTCTCTTAAACATGATAGATAAACCCATCCATCCACTGTTGTTTTTAGATAATGTGTGTATTGAGGAAGTTGAAAAATATACCCATCTAGGGCTTGTGTTTCAAAATAATATGTTCTGGTGGAGTCACATACAAAATATTATTGAAAAGGTTTCAAAAAGATTAAATATGTTGAATTTGCTCAAATATAAGTTAATAGATCTACATTAACTTGTTTATTTAAAAGTAAGATTTAAAAGTAAGTTTATTGGAACATATCCAGTATGAGTCCACCAAGGTAGTGACTGGTGCTATTAAAGGCACAAGTGCTAGAGCTTTGATGAATGAACTACAAGCATGGGAGAACCTCAGTGATAGGAGAAAAATGCACAAATTCACTTATTTTTTCGAAATTTTAAAGCACATTTCCCCTTTGTACCTTGTTGAACTACTGTTGAACTACCCAATACTGTGGGACAAAGGGTTGATCATTCTCTGCATTCATGTGATAATATTAGCTCCATGTTATGTAGAACAGTGAGATTTAGACAGTCTTTCCTTCTACAATTGACCTATGAAATTCTCTGGGCGCTGATGTGAGAAATTCAGATTCGATTGATTAATTTAAAGTTAAAGTCAAGTCAATGTTTGTTCCTTCAATGTCTAATGACATCTTTGATGTTTGTCTTACCCGTCAGGCATCGATCCTGCATGCACATCTTAGATTGGGTTTTCATGGTCTCAATGAATATTTGTGTAAAATTAATTGTCTTTTTTACCCTCTTTGTCATTGTAGCATGAGCAATGAATCTGTCCAACATTACTTCTTACATTGTGCCCGATTTGCTGCTCAATGCAATCTATTTCTTGCCTCTGCCGTGCGGATATGTGGTCAAAGTTGGTCGGAGAGTAGTGATGAAATCAAAACATTTTATATTGTTAATGGTATTGCACATTTAAGTTATTCTGACAAATGTAATTTCTTTAGACAAGTTGATACATGTATTCTCTCCACAAATCGCTTCTCTCCTAATGTGTTATTTTTGTGGTATAATATATCATTTTGTGATGTGTGCTTGTGTATTTTTGATGATGTGCTAATGTATTTGTCTTCTTTAAACAATAGTTTTGTGTGTTTATGTAATTTAATGTATGTGTGAGACCTCACAATAATCCATTTGTGCTTTTAGGGCAAACACTTTGTAATAAAATATGTTTATATAAAATAAAAAAAGTATCTGCAAGTCAACATCAGGGACATCCTCAATTTCCAAGATTGGCAGATCTGACAATATATCTTGCTTGGTTTCCGATGTAAAATAAAGTTTAATAGCTTGAGATAAACCAAAAAAATTATTCCCACTGTGTAAGAATGAATGCTCCAAAATATGCCAGACAGCTCTCAAATTGCCGGTATGTCTCAAGGCTGGATTGTAGACAGGTAGTTTGTGGTCATGATCACCTTCAAAGTGTATAACCGGTTTTGCAGTGAAACCAATTCCTTTCTTGGGTAATTTTAACAGCAAGGTGAAAGAATTCTCTGAGCGGTCCAGTTCCTAACCCTTCCCCTTCAAACCAGACGTGGGGTCTTGGCAACAAGTTTGTATGTTGGTTTTTATAAGTGGCTAAGATATCAGTCTTCGTATGTTCTTTGCCGTCACTGTGGCAAACGCTGAACAACTGATATGGAACACTATTGTCAATTGTTGCTTCAATTGTTGCTTCTCTCTATTAAGCAATCGATTTATTAATGTCACACAAGCTTTCACCATTTCTCCCTGTAAGTTCAGCAGATTCACTTTTGTTATGTACTTGACTCAAGGGAGGTGAACTTACTCAGGTGATGCTTGTGTGATGTTACTCTGATTGTATATCCACGCCGGGCAGACTTGCAAAATATGCCTGGCCACGGTGGGATTCAAACCTACAACCTTTGGAATACTAGCCCAATGCTCTGCCAACTGAGCTACGCAGTCAGGACGGTTCGAGTTTTTCAAGTCTGCCTGGTGTGGATATACACTCAGAGTAACATCACACAAGCATCTTATTCACCTGAGTACTAATGTACATGACTCAGGTGAGCTGACAAATTGAGTATCTGTAAGACATACATACATACATACATACATACATAAACTTTATTTAAACTCAAATTTACAGAATAGCATAAACTATAGCTAATATCTTTGAGTAAATACAAAACATATAGAATATTTACATGCAAATGCTTATTACTGAATGTTATTAATTGATCAAAATGAATTTGAGAGATAGCTCTCAAAAATTCGACCAAATTACTTAAAGTTCTGATATAATCTGGTATGGAATTCCAATATTTTACAGCCTGATACTTAAAACATTTTAATCCATATGTGGTAGTTCTGGTTTTGGGTAGATTTAGTATATCAGTACCTCTTAATGAGTAGGTAACCGAACATAATGTAAACATGTCCTTTAAATAACGTGGGTAATTACTGGTATGAAGACATTTATATACTATGATTAACATAGTTTGAACTCTCTTACTAACTAAAGAGACACCAGCCTACTTTATGAAAGCATATGTGATATAGGTAAAATACCGTCGATTGCAACTAAGCGGAAACATGTAAGAGGAAAACGCGATCTAATTGGTCATCAACATAATACGTTTGGGCTTCAAACGTCACATGATTTTGATGTAAACATTTGACGTTTTTGCGATGACGCGTGATTTTGGCCGCGCAAACCCGTTGTAACAAAGTTTGTAGCAAACATCAGCAAATATAGGCATTTCGTACAAAATGGATATCGAAACATTTTTCAGGCGGATCGACAGCGATCTCGTTCAATATGCTGATGCATTTCGCCAGCTTGGATTTACTACTTCTAGTCAAACAATGAAGTATTGGCGGGAGGAGGATTTTGGAAATCTTCAAGTGAATGTGCCAGAAGGACATCGACGGCTAATTCTCAATATGATTACCAAACTTCGAACTCCTGAAGTGAAATCTGATCGTCATTCTACACATACATTCCCAAAAAGTACATGGAGTCCTGAAAAAGACAGCTGTTTTCGTTCAAGGAGAGACATCGCTGTCAATTTTACTGACATGACAAAACCTCAGCTCAAGAAAACCGATACATCTGTAAACCGAGAAAAATTGTTCAGTTCCAATCATCGCAAACTAGATACGTCACCAGTAGAGCGCTATATCCAGAGCAAAGAGCAGGACATGGTCGAAAAAAAACGATGAAATAATGCAAAAAAAACAAGAATTAGATGAAATGACGCATCGAATCAAAGCAACATTTCGTAGGGGACAAAAATGTTCAAATTGTCACGAAACTAATCACACGGTTTGGTCTTGTACAGGAGACAAATGCGAGTGTTTGTGGTAACCTGTCAAAGCACCCCGATGAGAAGTTGGCTATTCAAGGAAAGAAACGTGCTATTGCATCTCTGGAAACTGCTGCCAAGAAAATTAGCCAAGAATTGACTGCTAGGAAAGCGGCGCTATTACATGTTAGCAACTCTGTCAATACGTCCATCGAGGACATTCTTCTTGACGAATACCCAGACGATTATACTGAAAACGGTGCGAGAGACTGGTTAAAAATACAGCAAGATGTCGCATTTGTCAAGAAGTCCTTTCGGAGTGGTACAGTGCCTTCTCGCAATACGGTAAAGAGCGCTATCGATGAAAAATATGAGGATAAAGTTCTAAAAGTAAACTCAAGCAGACCAGCGGCAAAGCGACATAGATCATGTTCAGCTATCGAGACAAAACTCGCTTCCTATGGAGTACAATTTCCAGCAAAGAAAAGCAGGCAAAACACCACGATAGCTCTTGAGCCACAAACGGCAGAAGAAGAACAGGAACAAGTTAGATTTGCCACTACACTTTCAATGTTCAACAAGGGCGACGAAAATGACTTTGTTAACATTGATGTAGACGAGGCTGTCGAGTCGATTCCAGTGATTCCAGTCATGAAAGAAATTTACAGCGTTAAAGATGACGAATCCAGCAGTACCAGTGAAGACGAGGCGGCAAGTATTTTGTTATCGCTCAGAAACAATATGGGCGATCGTGCTTAAAACGATTTTGTTGTGTAAGCAAATTTTACAATACCTAAATATAGCCTGAATTGTTTTGGTGTTGTTTTTTACTTATAGACTATATATAGCAAATTTGTTTGACTGTTAATACACGGCAAGGGCCAAGGCTCAGTTTACAATAATTTCATATTTCCTATACTCTATAGTGTTGAGTTATATTAGTTTATATAATACAGTCTGTAGCAACTTTTGTTTAGCAGTCTATAGTGTTGAGTTATTAGTAGTTATATTACAGTCTGTAGCAACTTTTGTTTAGCAGTCTATAGTGTCGAGTTATAGTTTATATTACAGTCTGTAGCAACTTTTGTTTAGCAGTAACTTGTCTGTAACCGACTGCCAATCTGAATTTTTTTTTAAAGTGCATGTGTATTGTAATTATAGGTTTGGCATAAAATTGCCAATTACACTATTGAAAGAAAAGTTAATCCGACTATATGCACATTAATATAGAGACTTGTTGAACTAATTTATTTCCGATTCTAGCTTTAGGCGAGGAATATGTGAAGCCAATTTCACAAGTAGGTTTGTGAATTACTGTAGTACTAGTATTGGAAACTCGTGAAAAATCGAATTTACATGTGTGGTATGTTAGTGCTTCACTACATAATTAACAAGAAACTCACGAAATTGGCTTTTACACTAGTTTCCCGCCCAATATTACAATGGCTGGGTATGGGAATATTCATAACTAACATTCGAATATTGGGCGGGACTTATACAGGTAATTTTGTAAAGCCAAGTTCGTTATACTTCACTAGAGGAATTCCTTAGAATTAAGAGAGCTTGTCTGTAAAAATCGCAATAATTCACCATTTTCTGGCAGATATGAAAAACTGAAAGTTCTTCAATTTCCCTCGATTTTATATATATTGTAGACCTATCCAACCCCACATATTTACTGAAGTTTCAGCCATGAAACAATATCTTTTCTCCATAAATCGAAATGTTATTGACTTGGTTATTTTAGATCATGAAATGGTTGAAATTTCCGGGTTCTCCAAACTACCAAAGTACGTCTTGGAAATCGCCTATTTAAAAATGGTCCTACATTCTTTATAAAGGTACATATGCATAATTCGTTAGGGCTAGGATGTAGTCATTCGACGACGATTTCAGATGTTTGGGATTCTTTTGTGTCTTGGCGAAATTTGATCTTAAACATGTACAATATTAGCGTAATTGCGTGCTTGGATTTTTCCGGCGCATTACGATTCCAATATCTTACGCTTGTTCTATTCAAAAAGTTAACATGCATTAACCGGCGCGTTACGATTCCAATATCTTACGCTTGTTCTATTCAAAAAGTTAACATGCTTCACTGTAAATGACACTGAGAACACAGAGTTTACTTCTTAATGATTTTCTTTGCATTCAAGTTACTTTGTCTACAGTATATGTGTATCCATACTGCGCGCACACACGTACGCACGAACGACCAAGCATGCATTTTAACTTTTTTCGAACGTAAAAAACATAGCCGCAGCCCCAAGGTTACATGGCTTTAAATTGCGGTGTCCGTCCAAGTTTGACACCGGCTTTACTGATTCTGTCTGTGAGTTTGTACGTTTATGCGGAATCACAAGCATATTTACTTGATGTAATCTCTAAGGTAATAATTATTTTTATTGCTGCTGACGCTGCATATTTAATTGTTTACATTTCCTATCGATACATTCATGTCGACTTGCATTTTATTACACATACTTTGAAATAACTTTTCTTACGTATCGATTCGACAACATAACAAATTTCCAATTTTCCGACGGGTTTCAACAATGAGAGGGGGGGGTCTGCCAATAGGGGAGGGGGGGGGCTTGAAATCCCGCTTAAGGACAAACTGTTGTCAATATGCAACTATTTATTCTGTCATGCACTTTAGTGTCGACGGTTTTGAACAAACTGCTGTCAATACTGCTGGCAACTATTTATTCTGTCATGCACTTTAGTGTCGACGGTTTTGACTTTGTTTTAGGTTTGTCGCTAGAAGACACTAGGGCACCGGTTTGTTTATAGGTTTGTCCCTAGAAGAAACTAGGGCATTATAGAACTGTGTCTGGTTACATGTAATACTTTCCGGTTTGTTTTATAGGTTTGTCCCTAGAAGATACTAGGGCATTATAGAACTGTGTCTGGTTACATGTAATACTTTCCGTGCATTGTTATATTGTTTGTAAACAACAGTAGCACGTGCAGTCTCGCGACTGCCTGTTTTTTATGTCTGTAGTAAATGGTTCAGTTCAGTTTCAAGTGATTTCTGCAATACTTGTAATGAGCTGTACCAAATTAATAAGATGGTAGAGCAGAAACAATTCGTCCCATTAATATTTTTGTCGGTGGAAGTTACATTACATTTGGTGATTTGGAAAACACTTAGACTCTTACTTAAATATTTCCATGTAATTTTAATTAAAACTTAATCGAGATAAAGCTAAGGAAATACGAAAAATACAATGGACTTACCTTTATGCTTCAAGAACTGTAACAAACCAATGTAACATAATCAGACAGTTTCAGTTGCAATATTAAATTACAGTGGACAATTAGTCTCGCTGCGTGCGTTTATTTACAACTGTGTTGAGAAAGTTACTTCCGGGTTTATAACAGCGTAGGTTACAAATAAATAATATTTGATTAATAATAATATTATTTTGTAAACAATCTTGGAACTGTTTTTTTCTTTACGTGCTAGACCACGACATAATTCGTCGCAGGCACTCTAGAAACGATCACGCTTACCATCCTGCATTCTAACCTTTTTCAGCTGATTTTCCATTCAACGACAACGTTTTTATTTATATTTGTCGGTATTTGCATATCTGCAGATTGTGTTTTTCATAGCGTAAATTTGAGTTAATTTAAAAACGCATGACCGATATTTAAGAGTGAAGCGTGTGTTCTCAGTGACGACTACAGTAAACACAGAATCGTTTTGAAAAAAATTTAAGAAATAATATTCACAGTGTCACGCTCCAGTTAATACGAACCACTCAATGGGCAATTCCAGCTATAGATCATATAGACTAAATTTTGATCTAGGCAAGAAGAACAAAATCCATCTAGAAAGAGCATGTTAAAATTAGTAAAATTGCAAAGTTTGGCCGCGAAATGTTGCAAAATGAGGAAAATAATAGCAATACGAAATTTGCAAATTTTGTATACCACATTTGGGCCGAAAGTGGTGCAATTGACCACTTGCGCAATAGGCTAAATTTTGATCTCAACAAAAATTTCATCACAGCTTGAAAGAGCATCACAAAATTAGTAATATTCCAAAGTTTCGTTGCGAAATGTTGTAAAATGCGGAAAATATAGCCTTGTGAAGTTTGCAATTTTCAGTCATTTTAGATTACAAACGGGAAATTGACAGCCCCAAACCCTTCGACGCTGTCAATTTCCCGTTTGTAATGGATAGTGGGATTGGATAGGTCTACAATATATATTAAAACGAGGGAAATTGAAGAACTTTCAGTTTTTCATATCTGCCACACATTCTGTGATTCTTACAGGCAAGCTCTCTTAAGATTTTAAAAATTATATATATATATATTAGATTAGAGTTTGAGTACTATAATTTTATAAAGCTATCTTCTAAGGAATTTCTCTATTAATTTGTCATTTTACAGTAGATACTAAATATACACTGCAACTCGCGAGTTTACAGTACATCCAGTAATTATACACAGTACAGCCTATAATTATATTGTTTCAAAATAAAGTTGAATTATACACAGTACAGCCTATAATTATATTGTTTCAAAATAAAGTTGATATACAGTATACTTCAGTAATTATACACAGTACAGCCTATAATTATATTGTTTCAAAATAAAGTTGATATACAGTAATATACTTTTCATTCGTTTAATTTCTTAAAAAAATATAATACATGGTTTTCAAGGTAAACATGCTATTGTTTCCATGCATAATACTGCATATAACATTACTTGCTCGTATACAAATTAACGATATATAAAACTTGTTTTTTCTAGTTATGATTGTATATAATAAAATATTTCATATTAAATGAGATAGCCTACATGTCTGTAATATCCGTAGAAGTCCGCCGCTTCTAAATCACCGATCGCACACCAAACTGCATATTCTAAGTTGTCAAATACTATATTTTGGTATTGATATTTTAAAAGATACTTCATTTTGGAGAAGACTTCTTCCGCAGGATTGAAGTCTGGAGAATATACAGGTAAGAATAGGAGCTGCATACCTAGGTCGTTCAAAGAACTGCGAAGAGCCACTTCAGCTTCTCCATGGTGGGCAGCAAAGTTGTCAACAACTAGAATATCCCCAACTTCCATTATTGGTCTTCGGGTTTTAGGATCGACTGTATTTAATGCCTCAGCAAAAAACCTCAAGAATTCAATTGAGTTAGACGCACCTTGAATTATGTTTGCATATTTAACTCCATCAATACCTGCTAAAAAATTCATAGTTATGTTGGCGGTTGAAGAGTAACGTCGTGCGTCAATACATAGCTCTCCGACCGGCGAATAACCATTATTTCTGTGACCTGTACCTGGTAGCTGAAATCCAGTCTCATCAAAAAATTTTACTGAAGCGGGGTCTTTGCTGCCAAGTAGTCAAGATATAATTCCGTATAGATAAGATTTTCATGCGTAAATCTAGCGGATGCACACTTTCCCATTCGTTTGCGAGAATAGTTTTTCATACTTGGTAGTCTATTACGAACATGTCTCGATATAGTCGAAGTTGAAACGTCTCCGCAATCACCAAATTCCGATAACTCAGTTTGCATTTCTTTGAGTGAGGTTGATCCTCTATTCTGCACAATAGTTTCCAATAATACAGCATCGTCAAATGATAGTTTACTTGGTGTCCTGATGTGATTTTTTTGGCACGGTTCAATGTTTCCTTTTTCTCGATACATTTTCACGTATTTTGAAACAGTCGAAGACAAAATACGCAACGTTCTGCCTACTTCGCGTATTGGCATGCTTGCAGCTAGATGAATGGCTTCGTATCTTAATGGCATTGGTAAGGGAAGCCCGGTTTTGTAAATGCGCCCGTCGCTGTTTGTCAACATTTTTTTTTTCACTTGCAATTCAAATTTTGGCGCAAACTTTCTAAACGTCAAATGTTTACATCAAAATCATGTGACGTTTGAAGCCCAAACGTATTATGTTGATGACCAATTAGATTGCGTGTTCCTCTTACGTGTTTCAGCTTAGTTGCAATCGACGGGTATGTCTATTGCAACAGCAATTGATAATAAAAATTAACATAATTGTATTCTTTGGGAACAAATTTAACTAAATTGAAGCAACATTCACACTATGAAATTGGTCTCTCTCTGCATCAAAACCTTGTCTTCACAGGGTACGGACATATTTGCATTCAATGAAACTCATAACCATATATTAGTTTGTGAGAAATGAAGTTATAAAATTTCCTAAGGCTATGCCCATGTGCATCCAAATATCTTCAAAGACATCTCAAGAAATTAACAGTGGTGTTTGCCTGTAATGATGAAATTTCTAGTATCCATGTATCCAGAGGAGACTGGACAGCTGTCATGTGAAAATCTCGACCAATGAAATCGCGCTATTTTACCATTGTGTTTGCGAAGATTTTTGGCCTTCAAATTTGCATTGGACACAGAAGCACTCAAAAAATATAAATATTCAAATTTTTCTATCAAAATGCAACCATGGCCATAAAATAATGAAAGGACTGGCGATATGTGCAAGAATTTCTGAGGTAAACATTTTTTAACCTGTTTTCGATAATCAAAGTTGGTTATGTTGTGTGTTTTTTTAGAATTGGATCAAAAAGGCGGTTCAGATCCTGGAATGCTGTGAAATGGCCCTGCTGACCTGTTGGGACATTCTATATTGGGTGAACATCAAATGGTGTGTGGAGTGAAATGAAATGAAATTTCGATTCAATGTGACTGGTAGAATTGAAATGGTGTAGATAATGATGATTTTAGTGAATTATGTTATGATGATGCATGGACTATGATGATGTTGGTGAGGCTTGATTTATATGTTATGATGATGCATGGACTATGATGATGTTGGTGAGGCTTGATTTATAACATAGATATAAAGTGATGATACTGGTGATATATGAGTTGTAAAATGGTATGAAATATAAGTGATACATAAGTCTGAACATTCAAGCTAAAATGAGACATGAATAGTAAAACTGCGATGTGTATGACTCAATTGATTGTTTTTGTGAAGATCACAATATCACAATATCAGATGTATTGTGATATTGCCAAGACCTGGGTGAATGCCAGTGTATTGACACCCAGGCCAAGTCCCATGTGTTTTGTGTTCAAAACCAAGGTTATGTTCTCATGAGGCTCCAAGCATAACCGGGAAAGCACACTTCGACCCCGCTAGCTGGTCTTGGAACAACGCATATAAATATTCATTTCTGTTCCTTTAATGAATTATACATGTTTCGTATACAATTTCTCTGTAGCCGAGCCCGCGACAGACATTCTTGCCTTTTATTTCTCGTTCTTTGAAAGCTGAGGTGTTCGTATGGTGTTAATATGCTGGTTGGTCATGATACACTTCACTTGGGTTTTTGGTCTGGGTTTAGGGTGTATGTGTATGAATTAAACAACTGTACAACTTTATAATGTTCATGAATTTAATTAATTTTCTGTAACTGCATATCTTTATTTGACAATTGTGTATTAAACTATATGAAGTGTGTGGATTATCATATTTTCAGGCCTGGACTATTTACATTGAATTGGTGGTGGTTGTTAATGGAGGAAAAATCTATTGTCTTCCATCCATGAACATGTTGTATATGGTGGGGAACTATGTTTGTTTCCCCATCAGTCGTTGCTTGATGGAGGAATGCATGATGCTGGTTAGAGCTGGTATTGTGGTCATTGGTGGGTGTAGTGTTACTGGGTGGAGGTGGTACTCGTAATGGTGGTTTGGAGGTGGCAGGTGATGGTTCCCTGTGTTGTTGGTGATGTGGCCATTTCTGAGACACCTGCTTGTTTTCGGGTTTTGCAGGATGTGACATGGTTGCTGTGGTTTGGGGGCGCTTTGGTTGATGTTTGGTGTTTGACTTTGGTGTTGTTTTGCGTTTGGTGGTTTGTGAGTGCTTGTGATATGGATGATGGAAAGTGATGAGATTTGCCCATCAATTTTGGATGATTCCTCTGAGTGGTGTTGGTGCAGGATGTCTGTGGGGTGGGACATGCAATTCTGGATGCCAATGTCCCATGCTTCCTTGAACTTTGGTGGCAGTTGGACCCAGGGTTGAATGAAAGCTGATGTTGAGACCAGCAGGTGTGGTGTGGTTTGTGATGTGTTTGTTGAGAATGGTCAACTGCCGTTGATGGTCATTCTTGCGGTAATGGAGTTCAACAAGTTTATCGAACATGGTGGTTGTGTTATTGGAAGTGATAGGTGTGGTGATTTGGTGTTTGGGGGGGGGGGGTTTGTGGTATGATTGGTTGGGATATTACTGGGTTGGCTGGCAATGTTAGGGTGAAGGTTGTTTTGGCTGAGGTTGGGGTTAAGATGGGATTTGGGATTAAAAAAGGACTGGCGATATGTGCAAGAATTTCTGAAGTAAACATTATTTTTAACCTGTTTTCGATAATTAAAGTTGGTTATGTTGTGGCAACTTCAAACTAAAAATTCTTGAATTCCCATTGTTCGATTTTCGTCATTTTTGCAAATGTCTAAACTAAAAATCTGCTGGAGGGATCCCCGGGAGATATGTGGCATTGAAGTGAGCATACTCACTTCAACCTTTGCCAAAATGGCGTCTAATATCTGGGGAAGATATTGTGCCACCACAGCTTTGTTTTCACAATGAATTTTGAAAGTTCCCTAATATTAGGACCATTTTCCTTTACATTAAGTGTTAAATTACTTTTGAAAGACTATTTAGAAGACTTAGGAGTTATTTGCCTTTTTTACAGATTTTATATCTGGGCTGGTATTATTAGCCTGCATGCCTATCTCGTTGGCAAGTGAAATTGTCTGATGGTAGAGACGATTTTAAAAGAACAGGCGAACAGCACATTATGAAGTGATCAGATTTTCCCTCAGTGAAAAATTTCTTTTTAATTGCAGGAGTTCAGATGTCGATATGGAATTGAAAAAGGGCTTCTTCATGAACATCCAAGGGGCAGGGCAAACTGATGATGTTGAAGAATGAAGACATTTTAGCATGGATTACTAGTATAGATTTTCGATAAAATGATGTCTTTTATCTCTTGTCCTTTATGATGTCTTTCTGAAAGTTATCACTGAATACAAACTGAGCTGTGATCCCTCAACATGGCCAACATCATGCTCCACCAAATACCTGAGCACAATATAGAAAGTGCACATACATGTACTGTATCATATTTACATACTTGAGCATTTTTGTTCAAATTTATTGACATAATGGCAAGTACATAATTTGATACTTCTGAAGACCATCCAGAGTCAACAGGTGTATATAGAAACAAGTAACTAGAGACCCATATTTTGACTAGAAATAAGAACCATTTAAATTCAACTCAACCTGATTTTCACCAAGTATCCATTATATACAACAATACATCTATTGCCACCATCGGACCAACTTTAAAACGAACTGCAGTCGAACTTTACAACATACATTTCTGAACTTACAAATAAACATTGGTGGTCAGATTTCAAAGACAAATTGACAGTAAGATGTAATTTTGTTGTTGGGGATGGGTTGGTGCTTTAGGGTTAAGGTTCAATTCCGGCAGAAGGGTTACACACAAAGACACAGCAATTTCAAAATTAATTACATGGCTTAACAAAATAAATTCTATTCAGTCACAAAATAGGTGGATGCATTTATTTATAGCCCATGGTTTTTTAAGTTTAGGTATAGGTTAGGTAATGAGAATCATATTGGTGTCCTAGTAATAAATTTATGCCACAATATATAAGAAAACAATATTGCTATTTTGAGGGATTTATGCCACAATACAAAAACAATATTGCTATTTTGTTGCACAAGTGCACATGACAGATATTGTTTTCTTATAGATACACACCTACTTAAATGATTTTTGTTTGGCAATAAAGTGAAAGGTAAAAATGCTGAAAAAATCTAAAAAGTTAACAAATTTAAATATACACTCATCCTCCTTACCACTTGAGTCTCCCACTCACCATGTTGCTTTATGAAAAATTTTGGATAAAATCCTATTTTAATTGAAAAAGTCAACCCTATACTTTATATGCTGAACATAGACCTCTAAGATATCTCCTGGGGCAATTAGTGGGTGCAAATACTTGCATAGTTCAGAAACAATATAACCAACATCACATGTGTCCATCCAGTTCCATTGTCTGCATCAATTGCGATTGCACTTGGGTCCATTGGATTCAATGGCTCTGGCTGTATTCTTACATTCACTGGTTTATCTTGTCCATGAGTAGTTATATTATTGTTTTTTGCTTGGGGGGTGGGGTGTGAACCAGTTTCTCGATACTATATAAATGAATAGTGAGTTGCTAAAAATAGTGTGCTGAGTCAGCAAAAAGTGTGATTTTGGGGGTCTGCAGATGGGGGGGGGGTGTTATGCAATAGTGTGTGTGGATTTGTGTTTTTGTAAGTTTTTCCCTGATTTGTGTGAGTTTGGTTTTTTTGGGGTTGGCGAGTATCAAGGAAGACTGGCCATGACTCTCCTGAGACATGCGCACACTGGTGGCCACGCCGAAGCACGGGGACTGGGGAAGTGTTCTCCCAAAGTCTTGCTTGACCGGCCTGAGGGTTTTTGAAATTGCTGCTGTTTATCTAACTGTATGAATTTTCCCCCATTCATCACAATACTTGTCAAGTTTCGAAGAAACTTGACACTAAAAATGTATGGTATTGAAGATTCTTATTATATAAGTGGAAATGCAAGAATTTATGATTTGGATTATCTTATATGGGTACTAAACAGGAATGATTGTAAGAGACGGAAGTTTAGGAATTTGACCATATTTGGTTGTGTTTGATAAATTGTTTAGTTTTTAGGTTTAATGGATCCCAGACGAAAAGGTGATATGTCGATATTTGATA